CACACGACACACATGACAGACACACACATGACAGGCACACACACGTCAGACACTCACACACACTCACACACACACACACACACACGACAGACACAAACACACATGACACACACACACACACACACACACACACACACACACACACACACACACACATGACACACACACATGACACACACACACACATGAGACACACACGTGACACACACACACACACACACATGACACACACACACACATGACACATGACACACACACAAGAACACATAACACACACACATGACTCACATGACACACACACATGACACACACCCACTCATGACACACACACAAGAACACATAACACACACACACACACACACACACACACACACACATGACTCACATGACTCACACACACATGACACACACAAATGACACACACGACACACACACACACGACACACACACGAAACACACACACGACACACACACACACACACGACACACACACACGACACACACACACGACACACATGACACACACACATGACACACACACACACACACACACACACACACACGACACACACACACACACATGACACACACACACACACACCACACACACACATGACACACACACATGACACACACACACACACACACATGACACACACACATGACACACACACACACACACACACACACAACACACACACACACGACACACACACACACACACACGACACACACACACACACACATGACACACACACACACACACACACACACACACATGACACACACACATATATGACTAGAAAAATAGAAACTTCTTTAAAAACTTGTTATAATAAAAAATAAAGTCTTATGTAAATATTTATGTCTTTTTATTTTAAGAAATATGTAGAATAATAATTTAATTTAAAATAATTTATTCATAACATTTATGAATTATTTTCTATAATTTTAATTATTTGGTACATAACGTTACGCCTCTTCAGAACCGGTACATTAGCCAATTCCAGCCCAACGAATGTTCCAAAAGCATTATTTGCAAATTCAATTTTTTTAGTGTTTTCTTCGGGTACTGCTTTCAGTAAATTCAATTGTTTTTAATGTATCACGGGCTTCGTAATCCTTGTATTGGTCTAAATTTTGCGAGTTTGGCTCAAATATATTATACGAGTCCTTATCAACTCGGTATTCTGTAATATATAAAAACACAAATTTGTAATTAGTAAGAACCTAGACTTTAAAAAAATAGTTTATATAATATATGTACATTAGAAGTATTTAAAAACATACTTGAGAAAGAGGCTGCTGCTATTACCCTTTGAAAACCCAAAAAATCAAGAGAAAAACAAAGATTTTAACAAGTATATGTAAACAGATTAATTACCGCCTTCATTGAGTCGTTTTTCTGAAGAGGGGCTATCACATTGGGTTTCATCGTTATTTGGCTCCGTTTCTGGTACTATTTCAGCTTTTTATAAAATTAATTAAAAATAAAAGTAAATGTAAAATAGGTCTCTATTTATAAAACGTTACTAAAATCAATTTTTAAATAAAATATACAATCATAAAAAGAAAAATAAATACGTTTGTGACGGTTGATTATATATTTTAATAAGTAAACGTGCACAGGTAGGAGTATGAAACTTTAAATTAACATTGTTTTGCAGTGCTACACGAATTTAGAAACAAATAGGTATATTCCCCCACCCTTTCTTCATCACCAGTTAAAATTAAGTTTCGGGATAATCACGTAAAACGATGTGGTAACCCTTTCGATAGGGTTAATTCTATAGTAGGGCTATCATTACAAATGATTAACACATTTCATTTGCTTAAAGGTAGGTTACACATATAATGGGTAACAAGGTTTTTCTACGTTCATTTTGAACGGGTAACCGTTTTTTTTGGCTTAACTCTAAACCCGGGTTTTACGGTCCCTGTTTGTAATATAAGAAGCAAATGATTTTTTTAATATGTTAAAACTAAATAGGCTCAAGATGCATTAGTATACAGTCAATCTTAAATTGTTCGATTAGGCCGAGCGGGGCCGTCTTCTAGTGCATGTACATGCACAGGGTTCACGGTGTTCTCATGAAGGCGTTGTGAAGGCGTTGCGCTTATGGGATAATTGCCCGCGGCGGCCCGGGGGCGCTCCACAATAACCACCCGCGACCGATTTAAACTTTTTTACTTGACCGCAGCCAGCTCGACGTCGCCGCGTCGTCCGACATTATTATACACTTCCTTCGACATAATAATTTTGAATCTATGAAATTATCTTTAAGTAATTTGTTTGTATTAATTATTTTCAAATTAGTCAAAGCAAAAAAAAAGTTGAATTACTGAATAACAAACAATACCCATTATTACCCATTATATAAATTCCTTATTTTTTATTCATATTCATAATTCAATAAAAGTGCAATTTAATACTAATTAGTATATTAATTACGTTATGTAAGTTATAATTCTCGCCACAAATACTAGCAACATAGAGACCAGCGAGAACGGTGACTTTGACATCTTCGCATATTCCCTACGACTCTTTTTTAGTGGTACTGTGGTTCCCAGTGTTCGTAGTGAGGGTCTTTTATGGGACACAGTGTACGTATAGGTATATAATAAAATTCCATACTCTATTTTGATTGCCACTTGAACATTTTAAGTCATAAATTAAAAATATATTAATGAACAAAGCATATTATTCCGTCGCGGAGTACTTTGCTGATGCAACTGTATGGGATTACTAATAGTTGATACATACTCACGCAGGATAAGGATATAATTATTGTATTGATATATTATAAACTAGTGACTCGCCATCGCTTCGCTCGGGTTCATCTATAACGCGCAACGCGCACATCGATTTGACTAAGTTAGTTTTATTACAGGTATAGACAAGAATAGTTTCTGCGAGTGCACCTTAAGAGATAGGCATATACTATTGAAGATTTTTCTGTAGGCCTTTTCAATACCTCCAATTTTTTAGTACGTTGTTTTGATGTATGTCTTAAGGTTTAGCCAGCAGAAGGTTTCTAAAGATGACTCGATGTAACCAGTTATTGTGTATTCCCGTGAGAAAGAAAGATTTTCTTGAAGTAAAAGGGATCCTAAATGGTGACCCGAGTAATAATTATCACTTCATCAAATTTCGTTGAAAGCGGTTCATTACTTTTTGCGTGAAACGCGCACACACAAACAGATACACAGACAAAAATTTTAATAACTATTGTTTTAGGGTCTATATTGTGTACATAATACGTTGCAGTCATTGTTTTTAAAAAATGTTTTATGTACAGATTTAGCTAAGTTACTACTGTATTATAGTACTAGAAAAACACTAATAGATATCTATTAGCTCCCACGGGAACCGTTCATTTTTCCGGGATAAAAATTAACCTATTTGTTATTATGATGTATGACCTATATTATTGTAAAGTTTTATTAAAATCCAATCAGTAGTTTTTGTGTACTAAGCTGAATAAGTGACTATAGTTTTTTTATTGTCCCACGGGAACCCTTTAATTTTCTGGGATGAAAAGTAACCGATTTCTTATTGTCTTGTATGAACTATATTATTGTAAAGTTTTTTAAAATCCAATCAGCAGTTTTTTTCTACTAAGTTGTATAAGTTATTAAGTTTAACTATCCCACTGGAACTATTTAATTTACCGGGATAAAAAGTATCTAATATGTTGCCCGGGGATATAAGGTACAACCATGCAAAATTTCATTTAAATCGGTCCAATAGATTTGGAGATTAGCCCGTACAAACAGAAAAACAGACAGAGAAACAAAAAATTTGAAAAAAACTGGATTTATTCTATTTGTCTTTTTACACCCCCCTGACTCGGTTTTTAGCATTTTTTTGCTATGTACAGACATTCGACCTCTACTGTTTTATTATAGTATAGATAGATAGATAGATTATAATTATATTTAAAAAGAGCAACTGTTGAATTTCTCGCCGGCACTTCTCAACAGAACTGCCTTCCGAGCCAGTGATAGATTCCTCACGGACTGACTACACTGACATTTAATTTAAATTTAAAATGTAACATTGACGATTCAAAAGTGCTTATAAAATTCTATTTGAATAAAGTATATGTATTTTGATTTGAAATTTTTCATATTATAGTGGAAAATTTGGTTTTATTCAATACTGAAAATCACAGGACACAGAGACACAGGAGAGCAGGGCAGGGGGTAGATTGCCGCGGATGATTGATGGCAGTGTTTAGCTGACTGACACGCGCTCCGGCCACCGGCGCCGCTCGCCGCGGGCGGGACCTGCTCTGCCCTTAACTAAATATTGAAAGTGCATCGTATTACCATTAATACAAAACATAATGGGCAAAAATTTGACTTATTCTTCCATATTTAACTTACATACCTATATGCAATTTTAAATATTCATATTTCACTTTTTTCACTAAAATCTTCTTCAGGCGTCTTTTGTTAGAAAAATCCTTTTTATTCAGCCATTTTTAGCATCCCAATGTTGAGAATGACCCTCATTAATAAAAGGCCATAGTCCACCATGCTTGCCAAGTGTCTTTCATCTTTCAAAAACTAGTTAGGCTCTCTCAAAAAACGTGAGGAATCACGAAATTTTTCTTCACTATAAGGCATGTAATGATGATGAAAACGACTTGCACATGAAAATGTCAGAAGTGCCAGACCCTATGCTAAAAATCATAAAAATAAATTAAGAATATGAAGTAAACTATTATGTCAAGGATTAAAATTAAATCCCTTATACTTTGATCATTTTGATAATACATACCTATTTCAATTAAATTTTAAAATAAATAATAAGGTTTAAATATATTTAAATGATGTTCAAAAACTAGACTATCGGCCACTTGCTTATATTTTTTCACTCTAAAACCCACCTTCACCTCAGACATAATCTAGCATTTGAGTAAGTGGAACAAAAGTAAAGGAACTCGAAGCACCTGGCTGAAGCCTGTAAACGGAAGCGTCAAAGAAACGATCAAATGAATACTCAGTCCGATAATCGTCTTGCAAGTAAGTGTCGAAAGCTACTCGACACGTGTTCCGAATCCAAATCGAGCCGGGAATTATGTACTAAAGAAATAGCACATTGTGTTTAGCCTCTAATATACCAATAAGACAATGGGTAACAAGAATCACTTTTTGCGCCGCCATTGTGACGGTCGAATGTTATGCAAAGCTATGCCCTGCGTCCGGACAAAGATGGAGCGATACCGAATTGCTCGTAGCCAAGATGAATAGCGGCGAAGATTGCCAACAATCGAGATGCTGTTGATGCGATATGGAAATCATTCACTAAAATAGATAACTTTTTCTCACCCGTTTGTTTGGAGCTTAATCATTTTGGGATATCATTCACGTACGTCATCCAAAAACTTTGCTTCAAAATATTATCGGTCACAAAGATCTATATACGTACCTATATATCAAAATATAAAATCTAATACAATATTTTATTGCTGAGAATGTAAAAAGCTGTGCTCCTGCGTCGAAAATCAGTTTGCCGAAAGAGCATTTCAAATATGAAAAAGGATGATATTTAAATGATTCGCTCTTTGACGAACAGTCGCCGCCCTCACGACATTCCATTCTGATGCTTGATATTTATGCTGAACTAAATTAGACTAAGCTTGGCCAAACGTGTTTTTCATACATTTCACATAGTAACCGTCCTCCGGTATAATACTTTGTCAGATCTCAGAATGTCAGAACGTTCGCTCGCGACAAGGATTAAAATCAATTTACCGATGGTTTCACGCGCCGCATCTAATTACTCGACGATTGAACAAAGTCATAAGCGGTCATTTATCCAGATATTCAGCTTCAACGACTACACTTCGTTGAGGCATTTACTTTTAATGTTACGGTCAAATTGTACAATGAACGCTTTAATTATGAGGTCGTGACTTATTTGTTAACTTCATAATATCCCAAATTTTTATTTATGTATTATTTCGAAAGAAATATCCATACTAATATTATAAATGTGGAAATATCTCCGGCTGATGGTTTGTTATCTTTTCATACGTTAATAACTGTATACACTATACATGATTTGGATAAAATTTGGTAAAAATATAGCATTTCGTCATACTGACATAGATTCATGCAAAAAGTAGTATTTAATACATTTTAAATTAATTAAATTAAATTAAATAATTAAGTATCATCCAAATGTTGTAAGGTTACATTATTATTAGCAAAACAAATAAGTAGTCCGTCAGTAGACCTAATGTAAGTAGACTAAACATTCAAACAATATTAAGTTGTAGCTAATAAATAAAGGAAAGATATACATGTATACCGACGAGAAAATTGTATTCCGCTGTCGTAATATCTATTATGATAATTAAATAGACAAATGCGTCATGTTAACAAAGTGTCGAGCCTCCATTGAAAAAGTTGCGTAATAATTGCAATCTTTAGTTTTTGCTGAAGTCGGTCATTTACATAATAACATAACTCGGATGGATCCGCGATAATTAAAATGGTATGCAATAACGAGTGTAAATTCATCAAGCGCAAGAACTCGAAGAATAAAACTTTACGACCCTTGCCCACTTCTAACGACCCGTATTGTTTCGCGAGCAAAAAATAGAATAATGTCCAATAAGGTTTAATTGCAAAATTCATTTGGTATATATTGGTCCCGGTGAGTGAATGAAGCTCTGGACTTTTTGGAACAAAGAGGGAATGGGTACGGGACGGAGCCGGGACGAGGAAGGGGCCGGGGAGCATTCAAACGACCCGCGTTTGAATGCTCGAGTTTTTAGCTCGCGCGGGCGCAGGAAGGGAGGGGGGCGGGGGTGCAGGCGCAGTATCGGGCGACGGATGCAAACACGTCCGCAGCCGAATCGCTCGCGAATTTTTTCTCAGTTTTGAATAAATGAAATATTCATAGCGGTCGATACAGAGTTGAAATGCATTGAAGCGCCCCAATATATTCATTATCTAAATTTTTCATCACTTTTTATTTGGCAAATGTGAGCAAAGCTTATGAATATGTGCATATGTAACAGATACGGCCGAAAGAATGTCTTGAATTTCCATATATTCGAAAGATATTATATTCAAGAAAGTAAACAGACCTGAACAAAAAATTCAATAGGTCGAAATGGATACGCATTCAAAGATGCTATTGTAAATTGTAAGAATATTGACTAAATTTAATACAGTCGTTACATGTTTGTCTCAGCGAAGAGCTAAGTAATGAATTATGCTGCAAAACATAATTAGCCATCATAGCGGCCGCCGTAACTTGGCTCCTAGAAATACTTTACATGACATCTAGTTAATGAGAGGAAAATATTCAAGCTTTAACCAGCATCTAAGCACGAAGGCTCCCACGGCCCGGCGCAGGAGTGCGGCAAAAACGTCGTGCAGGGCTCCGAGGGCGGCGGCGGGTGCGGGGTGGCGGAGGTGCGGGGGGTGCGGGGCGCAGGATTGCGCGCGCGTCTGCCGCATGCATACAGATGCCACGTAATTGTCGCGCGCAAAAACTGACCGCATGATAATCGAGGAAATGCCGCGCCCGCTCCGGACACTATTTCATTCTGATTGTTATCGTTCTATTCGTGTGTGTTGAAAATTAAATGAAGAATATAAAAGTGGACTATGATGTCACAAATTGAGCGGTTTAATTAATAAAGATTAAATAAAGTTATGTGACGATCTCCCTCTGTTGCCTATCGTGAGGAAAGCATACTTTAAATACGTTACCTACAGTAACATCATGTTGTAAGGCAGTGGTAGCCCGGTGGTAACGCGGTCGCTTGGGAAACCGAGTGAAGCGGGTTCAAATCCCGGGTCTTGCACCTCTGATATTTTCATGTGCGAATCATTTCCATCATGATTACCACTAGTCTCACGGTGAAGGAAAACATCTTGAGGAAACCTGCATGTCTGATGAACTATAGCCTGATCGCTCTAGTATTAAAGGGAGGCCCGTGCTCAGCAGTGGGACGTTAAAAAGGACTGAACACTTACATCATGTCACCAAACTCTGCAAGTTCCTAAATTGACAATGCATGTATCGATAAATTCATCTATATAAATAAAAATGAATGTTGCTAAACGCAAAACTCGATAACGGCTGGACTACTTAGCCTATTATTATTTTTTTGCAAATATTCGCTGAAGTCCGGGGAAGGTTCTTATGAAGAGAAAAAATCGAGAAATTCACGGAAAAATGTAAAAATCACATTCTCCTTTTTCTTTACTACTAAGTACATTATAATTATCAGCAGCAATCTTTAGTTCAGTTAATATTCAATTATATTAATACAAGAAATTATTTTCAAATTGAATTAATAACAGCCATAATAATTTCTAGATGTTTCTAATAATATTTGTAAACGCTACACGATTTAGTGCTTGTACACAGATTAGCTCTCGTGGCAGTGTGCCCTAGTTGTAGAGGAATAAGGTGTACTTTGATGCGGTTTTCATATTTAATAGGGTCTTGGCAGGAAACGGCGCATCTTCTCACGCGGAGTCCCGACTGAAGTATTGTAATTGCGTGCGGCGCGAGCGCTATAAAGCAAGTGTGCATTGAATATCGCTCGCCGCCTGTGGATGACATGTGGTATGTAGCTGGCACTATAAATTCATTATTTTATCGACATATAAAAAGAGGTAGTACTCAAATCTAATCCTATATCTTTAAACGAGGAATTCTTGAATATACCTATATATAATCTAAATCTCGGAAACGGCTCCAACGATTTTCATGAAATTTTGTACACAGGGGGTTTCGGGTGCGATAAATAGATCTAGATTAGTCTTATGTCTTAGAAAATGTGTGTTTTTGAGTTTTCATACAGTTTTCTTTTGCATTATTTCACGCAAAGTATGGTCGGTAATTTACAGGCTCTGGTGTAAGTATCGTGGTCAAGCGGCCAAGTCGCAAGTTTGACAACCACAGGTTCGTATCCCGGTCGGATACAAAGTTTTTACTTTTGTTTTTTTTTGTATTTATTCAAATTTTTAGTTTGTTTTTTTTTTAATGTTTATTGGCCAAAAACTCCGAGCGAAGCTCGGTCGCCCAGGTACTGTATTTTAAGTGATTTATGTCACATTAAACCGATATCCTCAACTTAAACCGATTATCACGACTGCTTTTTAATAAATTGGTATGTATATAACGTTTTTAGTTTATACCTCTTATAGATCACACTTTATCCATTTGCCTAAAATAAATATAAATATATGCTAGGGTTACCTGTTTAATTATATTGCACATTGTAGTCTGCTGTAAAAAAGTATACTTATATTTTTTTTTACTTAGTTACTAACAGACTAAGTAGGTAGGTAATATTGATAAATTTGAGATTTAATTCGATGATTTGAAGCAAAATTTACCAATTATTTACTTCGAAGATCAAGTAAACAGTGTACTTTTAAATGAACTTTTATGATGTAGAAAATAATGTAACTGTAGAAGTATTATACCCGGCGGCTCACCGCTATACTGATAATCTGGCTAAATTTATTTATTACGACCCACAGCGCGCTCGCTCCGGCCCCGCTTCGGTCCCGCGTCGGCTCCACGCAGTTTGCTGCAAATTGATCAAACCGACAAACAAAACTACACTTAACCAAGTAATTAACGTTGCTTTGAATATTCAGGCCCGATGATTATCGACTGACAGGTTTATTAGTGCCAACACTTTAGATAACAAAGCTTTCAATTTAACATTGAAAAATATGAGAATATTTATTTATAATTATATATAAAAAATATTTATAGGGAAAGCCGACTTCCATGGATATAACTCTGTGTATATGGATCATAAAGTTCCTTTTAACATCCCACTGCTGGGCACGGGCCAGCTTCAGTGCTAGGAGTATCAGCACTTCATATCACACAGTCTTTCGAAAACATTTTGTTGCATTATTTTACCAGAGCTTTGGTTATATTATCTGTAATATTTATCATACGATAATTAGTTAATAATATTTTTTGTGTGCAGAGCGCGGTACAAGCGGCAAGCGTGCGCGTGCGCCGCCGTGTATTGTCCCTTACCTACCATTGCGCTACGATAGTCACAAAAACTAGTACTGCAATTATAATTATTAATATAATAAACCTAGTTATTTTTTGTTTTATAGATATCGATCTCGACGCAGTTCCTATTTATTTAATTAAATATTAATGTTAATTATATTATAGAAATACAGTTATTATTTAACCACTAAATAAAAGCAAATGTTGTTATTAATAAATGACGTCGTCTTGTCTTTATTCGAGTGTACCGCAAATTGACTCAATGCTACGAGTACTATTAGAACACAACAACAAAAACTTCAAAATAAATGAATCAAAAATAGAAATAGTTAAAAAATAAACATAGTTTTAGACTAAACAAAGCAATGAATCTTAAAAATTGGCGAAGCTCATATAATGCGTAGGTACTGATATCAAAACCCTCCTGCAATTAATTAAATCGTGGCATTTAAATAATTTACTTTGTAGAGCGAGCAAGTCGTTATGATAATGTGGTAGATAAAATGACTTACCAGAACCACTGACGAGATTATATAATGGCAAAAACAAATATTCAAAATGAATTATCTTATCCTTGTACGAACAATACCTACCTAATGATTAACACGAAGAGCTTATATTAATAAATCGTGTGTCCGCGCTCAATATAGTTGTAGGATGCAAACTTATTTTATTTGAAATAAAATAAAATTATATAGATAATCAGGAATTAGTGAACCTATAATAGAAAATCCTAAAATTTTTAATGAGATACAGTTTAAATTATATATACTAAGTACCTATATCTTCTTAACAGATACCAAATACCTATTAGAAACACGATAGGATTTTTATATATTTAACTAAAACGACTTGTTTTTTTATAAAAAAGTTATATATGTATATTTATCAACTTTTTTACTATTCCATTAATTTTGATATAATTCATATGAAGGTTAAAATAAATAAATTTATCAAGAGAACTGAAGTGGCAACAATTTATATGTAGGTACAAAGTGAATTAAAACATGCACAAATGCGATAATAGCTAGGAATTGTTCCGAAGCTCCTCAAAAGGAAACTCGTTAGCTACGCATCTAATTACGAGTATAACAGTGTTCTCGCTCGAGCCTCGCCGAGCTTCCCACGTCGCGACTCGCGCCGCCTCGCTGCATTTGTCAATATTCTAACTCTACACTAACTAACTAACTGCACGGCGCTGCCTGTACGTACATTCTTACTCTCGTAACACTGAGGTATCCGATGAGTTATATGGCTTTATCACGACACCCGTCATTGTTACACGACATACTTCTCGCACCACCTTGAAAACGATTCTTTACCCTATCTTTATTAGATATACAAAAAGTATTAGTTAACTTATCATTTAATATCAGTCTCTAAACTAAAACTAAACTCTCATCATAAGTGTGAATATTAGAAATGAACACGAGCAATATAGCGCTATTTAGCTAGTGGCATGTATATTAATATATCAATCAATATTCAAGAGGCAAGAGGTAAAATTTTTCCATTCTAGGTAAACTCTAAGGTCACATTATTCTACGAATGTCGCATAATTTAATCAAAACCAATCAAATGACGACATTGAACAGTAGAATGTATTTGGGTCTAAGTTTAGACTTTACAATAATAATATGAACTTAGTAAATTATTTACTTTATATTGATTATTGGCGATTACCATGAATAAATTATTATTTAGTTTTTTAATATTTTTTTAAAAGACAATTAGAATAAAATATGAACGGATGGTTTTATTTAAAAATGTATATATTAAAAGACAGTAAAGTAAATAAACCTAAGAAAGTATTATAGAGTTAGAAATAATTAAAGCTCTACATTTTTTTATTTAATAACTGTTGTGGTTTATATTATAAAGTAACACAATATTATGTTCAAGTGAAAGATAAAGTACAAGTTGTTTGAACGCGCTCTTATCGACGATAGCAACAATGGAATCGGTCAAAAGCTGTTTGCTTAATCAATGAATAATGAAATTGAAATAAATGAAACTACACGCACACTCGTCCCGTGCCTGCATCCGTGTAGGTACGAGTACATGTTATCTGTTAGTTTTGATAATGTTAATAACTATATGTGCATTGCTTCCTTTCTGCATTTTTAAATACATTTTTGTAAATGACCTATGTCGGTCCAACCACAAGCACTGAGTGCAATTTTTAGTTGGTTTAGCTAATATCGACTTCCTTCTTTTTATAAGATTTTTTTGTAAGAAAAGTTTTGAAATAATATATGAATGAAAACTTAAAAACAAACAACTCGAAAGGAACCAGGAAGGAAATAACAAAGACCCGAAAAGAGCTGGCAAATAAACTCATTGGGACTAACAATTTTTAATGTATTATAAATCTCACAATAAACCAAGGGCTCTTTCACTATCGAGCTCGCAAATGAAATTATAACATATCAGTTTCTTAAGGACCGTTAATATATTATTTATTTATACGGACTATTTTGCGATATCAGCGAGGTGCGACCGAGCGTATCACAATTTGTGATTATTAATCTAAATGTAAATAATGTACAGATACTAAAAATAAGGCATTGAGTACATAAACATATTTTTGATTCTATTAATCTCACCTAGTATTCTGATATAATTTTTAGCAAGACAAAGCCAACATTAGAACAATGCCTAGAATAGAAAGTTCGAAGTCGTTGAATTTCGATCTCTCAAAAAATGAAATATTGTCGAAGGAAGCTGTGAATTATGCAAATCACTCAGATCTCAATTACGTGGTTTGTTCGCTCGCGTAATGCGGCGCGCTCGCAGACACACGCCTACATATCGAAACTGCCATTAAATTTCATATTTTACTAAATTACCTGTTCGGCTGAAGCGACTCGGATTACATTATCTCCTCGGACATACTTAGTACATATACACACGTATGTACATCTATACTCGGGTGTGGTACAAACATTGTTGTTATTTTTTATTTCTGTATAAATATCGTGAATATTATATACTTTAACATGAACATGACACAGTCGTAGGTACTCGTAGGTACTTTGTTTTACAAAGTTAACAGCGAAAAATAGCCATCGACAAAAACTTAGAACTTGATAAACGATCAACATAACTGGCATTAATAAACAAGTTGCTATTGCTCTAAAATTATAATATATATACAATTAGCTATAGTGTGTCATATTTAATTGAATACAAAGTATGCATAATAAGAGAACGTGACCGGAGCACACGCCGCAGTCGCCGCGTCCATATTGTACCAAAAATAACCGTGAATTAGTATTGCACAACTAATATTACATATTGAGCGTCGACTTTATCCCTCGTGAAAGCATTGATTAATATTGTAATGAACTCGATGCTCGCCGACGACCCGCCGCCCCGCGACGCGCCACGCGAGCGCAGCATACATCGGAGCTCCCGACGGTCTGCGGCGCGACAGCTTCCTTATACCTGTTCGATGAATTCCTACCGTAGTAATATCATCCTTAGAAAGTCATAGAGTAGCCTGCAAAGTGGAGATCGGTAATTGTGTATAGTTTGAGATAATATCGGCTGTAGAGTCGCGGGTGCAATTATTTTTATCCGGGCGGTGATTTGCGTACGCTTACATCGCATAATAACACGCCAACGCTACCACCGCCTTGTCCCAAATTGTGCTTCATAATCATAATGGATATCCATATCCTAACAATAATAACAGTATGCAATATTCTATTTTAAGAATGTAATTTAGCCATAATTTTATTGAGTTTTATGTTACTTTTTTAGAACCAACACATAATTAATGGTAAATACGAGTATAAGCCATGCTGTCTTGCAAAAGATTAATTAAAATATTGAGAAACTTCGTCTAGTGATCGAAATTCGACCATAATTATTATTGAAAATTTTTGTAAAACATAAATGAGTAGAATTTAGCTATCTACATATATAAAAAAACTAACTGCTTCCAATTTTGAGGTGAAAACTTCTTTAGCCAGCGATTTTTGGTAGAGGCAAAACTTATGGGTTCGCGTCACCGACATGCTACGTGCGACAAGTGACGTGTCGACGCAGGCTGGCGCAGTCATATGTTTTGATTAATAAATAATCTATATCAAAATATAAATAATTATTGCTCGGAGTGCCAATGGATGTGAAAGCGAAAAAAAGAAGAAAGATATGATGATATATGAAAGATACTAAATAAAAAAAATCTTTTGACAAACAAAGGATAAAAAGGTAATGAACTGTTTTTTCTTTGCCTGGTTTAGTCTCTGAAATAACTTTAAAAAACAAGATATAAAATTTTAAATAAATCTATTTTTGGTTCCCAAAATGCAAAATAATTCCGCGAAAAAATCCGCAAAGATAGTTTTATTTAAAATGTCAAATATTCGTGTAAATCTAAGAAAGTATTAAAAAATTAAAATATAAAATCTCTGACATTAGCGTCATATTACTAATACATTTGTGGGTAGATTTTATATAATTGATAAGTATTTGGATGAGCAGAGTGGATATTTATGATTCCAAGGGAGCAATAATACACAAGTGTCCCAACAAACAAACACAGGTAGAGCGCGGGCGCGAGCGGCAGTAATTACGCAATCACCGGGGCGCAGGCGCAGGCGCAGGCGCAGGCGCAACGCAGCGAGCGCTCAACTATTAAAACGAGCCGCGTCCTTATCCAGTGTTGTTCACGTTATCTTATCGATATAGTAGGGACAAGGAAATTAGTATTATAAAAATTGATGTTACTTCATTCTCAAAAATATCTGACTTTAACAGAATTTTAAACATTTGTATTTCATTCGTTACTGCATAAGATAACAAAAACAAAACATTAAAAATTTTCTGTACATTTCCATTTCCGTTTTCTATGAAATAACATGGCCAGTTTTGGTAATATTAATTATGGTTTTGATTATTTTCAGTATTACATATTTACATTTATTACAGTATTCTGTAGGTATATACCTAAGCACTAATCTATTTTTATTCTGGTATACGATTTCCAAAATATAGATTATATAAGAATATTAGGATAAAGGATTATCTCCGGAGGGTCAGAGAGGGAGAATACCACCTTATCATATGAAAAGAGTCATTGATAGCTGTTAGTATATGATCGGACTACTAATATAAAAGCGAAACTTTGTATGTCTATATGTAAGTTTCTTACTCCTAGTCCTTTCTGAAGCAGCTGAGCGGATTTGGATGAATCTTAGTACACAGATGTCTATCTGTAACAGTAACACTTGAGCGAAGTAAGGGGAAATAGTACTAGGCAACAAACATTTTTTTTCAAAGAATCGATATATGCATAATGCACATTGCAGGTCGCGCCTAGCGGCGGGTAGTGCACTGTGCAACTGATTGGATTTACTTAATAACAATAAAGCAGGCTGGCTCTTCTATAAACATGTTTATTGTAAAGTATTCAAAATGTTGCGTTATATATTAATGGCGATTATATATAAAAAGATCTTGCATTATTTAAAGTAGGTAGAATACAAACGAACAGAAATCTGACATTAACTGATCATTAAAACAGTGATAAGTGAAAACGGCAACTTGAGGATTTTAAATTTTTCATTTTACTTCGGAAACTTACAGTTTCCGAAATATTGTTTTTTTTGTTGTCTTTACTCTCCTTATTTAATAGCGTAAGTAGATGATAATTGTGCTAATCTGAGAATATCATGCAGATTTCTTTATTGTTTTCCGCTTTTATTGAGATAATGAGTTAAGAGACTCCTTACTAAGCTTACTTTTAACTAAGCAATTAAAAGATGGAGCTTGAAAGATAACCATACTAAGTCGTTATAGACCAAATTAAAGAACACGCAGGGGAAGTTGCAAACAGTAGCTAGTGTCAACTTATTTCAATTATGTACATATCTCTCATATATAGGTACAGCTTTCCAGTAATATTAATTTTAAAACTACCTTCTAAGAAATTTTAATGGTTAAAGCCAATACTGCTATGTATTTCCAGTGAAAGGTTATAAATATCGATCCAATAATATTTTTGTATAAAAATACCACTTAAAATAATTATAACATAAACAACCCTTTCTAAAATACTTTCGCAACGATGTTTGGGGAAAGGAAATAATGACAGGTGTACCAGATTAGGGCATTTACTTCCGCGCTCGGCTGCAGCCACGAGCCTGAGCCATACAGACGTACATACGTACATGTTGTCGGCCCAACCTCTACACTAAACATACACAACAGATGGACGAGTCGCATTAAGAATTTCCAAACTTATAACAAATTCAACTATAAAGAGACATAGAAATTATATAAATATAAATCAAAAATATAAATCTGCACTACATGTTATAATACAATTCTGAGTCGAATCTGTACAATGAATATTTTTTTGGGAAAGCTTATTGAAATAGTCATTATTATCGATACAGAGACCAAATCTATAGTATTTAGAATGTTTGCTTATCTGAGAACGCATCACGAGAAAACCACTGGACAGATTTTAATGAAATTTGGTATGATGATAGCTGGTTATCCGGGTCAAAATGTAGGATACTTTTTGACCCGTGATTTGGGGTGAGTCGCTAGACTAGTATATGTAAGACTTGAGGCACTTAGTAACGAAAAAAATGTTACTTTTTCTATTTTATAAATTAATTGATTAAGCTGATGCTATTCAATATAAAGAATAAGTAAGAATATTATAAATTATAATAATAAAACACTAGAAAAATCAAACTCAAACTCTCTCACAATATAGGTATGTAAGTTTTCTTTCATCAGTTTTACGGTATTTTGTTTATGAGAGGTCAACCATCACTGGAGTCTAATTATTAGTAATTATAAATGGAAAAAGAAGTATGACTTTGGTAGAAATACTAGCACATATTAGCCAGTCGTGTATACGTAGCGAACCCTTTCAAATATTTCCTATAATGATATTTGGAGAAAGGCACATAATGACAGGTGGCGGCGCGGCAGGAGTGTAGCGGACTGAGGAGAGACGGCGAACTTCCGAGCTCAAACAATGCCTAGGTAATGGCGCAATCACCGATCGCAGTCGCGATTAGTATGATTATTTGATTGGTTAATCATAGCGCAGTATTGAACTGTTCTGTGCTCCGTCATTTTGTTGAGCGTTTGTTTTAAGTAAAGCACTGTGGGTATAGATAGCTTATAGCTTACTAGGAAGCTATCATTTATATACTAGCCGGGCTGTCTAACTCTAGGTAAGGGAAATGGTTCAAAGTTAATATCATAGGACGGCAGCGAAACAAAAGTTCAAGTACTCTTTATACATAGATTACTTGTGGAGACCAATTGAAAATGGCAAGAATATTTCGTGCCATTTCTATATATATATATAGTATATGACAAAGTCGTGTTAGTTACAGCATTTATAACTCGAGAACGGCTGGACCAATTTTTATGATATTTGATTTTTTGGATTTCTCTTAGTCCGGAATAGGAAATAAGTATTAAAACATCAGAAAAATTACAGAAAAAAAAATATTTAAAATTTATATGACTAACGCTTGCTAATAACTATTTATATCTATTTAAAACGTACCTAGCGACGAACCCGAGCGAAGTGAGGGTGAGCCGCTAGTATTCTATAAATATGTATATTGATTGTAATATGCCTTATTTAATTAATTTATCATTCCTTTTACAAACAGAGACTTGCGACTTGTGACATACGGAATGAAATCTTTAGCTATTTTTATTCTGTTACGCCAAAGAAGTATAACTTCTTACATGCGTACATTCAGTACGCACACACGTTTTTTTAAAGCTTATGTTGCCTACATTTTTAAAGGTAATTAAAAAAAATTTTGAACTTCGCACTGGATACGGACGGGCCTGCCATCTACGCAACGAGAGGCCAATGTTACCACACCTGCAAATACTTTAATTGAAAATTTGTGTATAACAAGTTCTTATGTTAAAATGAGATTCGGAACGAGCCGCGTCTTTACTTCTTCTAAACCCAACTCCATGACAGCTGTACCCAGTAGGTACTATTGCTATATGTAGCTATACATAGAATTGATGAATTGCGAGATGTTAAAGTGTAAACATTTAAATCATCTATAAGTCCTTGTAAGATAGGTGGTCGCCGCGCGGACACAGTGCCAACAACATTTATCCAATAACATACCATGGGATAGATACAAAAACACGTTAATTAGTGTGAATGACACGTACTAGTCTTATAGTACTTCATTATTTTTATAAAGCTCTAATGAGGCTTGCCAATTATAACTCATAATTTAAGCATTTCAATAAACATTAATCGAGATTTAATTCTAAAATATTCATATGTCGCAAACCGGCCCGCCGCGGCCCGCCGCGGCCCGGCGCGACCGCTGTTATTTAATCGTGTTACAACTATTCACTAATGAACGAGTAAACTTATATAATATGAAATCGGCACATACTTTAGAAACGGTCTCCGTACACTATTTATGTAAAATACTTATATTATTATATTATTATGTTTTCATTAAAACAAAGAGCGCGAAAGGTACAGTCCTAGTTTTACTGTCAGATAGCAAGTCCGTCCGACCATCTTGCGGTCTCACATATGAGCTCAAGTGTAGATCCATTTTTATTTTGGTTCATTTATAATTATTATAACATCATTTCTATTATATTATAAAATGTAATCTATCGATAGCAGTCTTATACGGGGACTATTTATGTAAAATTAATTTAAAATTAAGCAAAACTGCTTAACTTTAAACAAAAGGTATAAAATAAATAAACTCTGATAAAAGTGTCTAATGTGCGGTGCCAAGAAACGCTTAGTTAAAGCCTATGCAATTTCATGATATTAAATTGACATATTGAAAATAATAACGGCCTCATTACAGAGAGGTTCCCGTGAGACCTGCACAGACATACATACGCCGAGTTTTGCATTACACTCGTTACTACCAGTCAGTGCTGGCTATCGCAGCACGCCCTTGCGTAAGACACGCGGGTATAATGTAAACTGACCTGTTTTTACACTACAATTTTGGATAATTTAAGCTTCATACTGCGCTCGTCACACTCATAGAGCTCGCACGAAATGTTTCTTCTCCCAGTTCTCCATTTTCCTCCGATTTCTTGGACGACACGCATTTCGGAGTGCGCGTTGCTCTTTATTATACGAGGAAAACCATTTTCACTACGTAGATAGGACTAGTGTATAAAGCGTTAGAAACATAATATTTATTATAAAGAGGGAGTCATAAAGAAAATTGAAAATCCGCTTCAAAATTTACTCCGCGCGTACATCGTATACCCAAACATTAGAAGACTTTGCAACACGCAGGCTATTTGCCAAACAAAACGCAAACGTTTCAGAATGTGAGGACGATATCGGTGGTCTAAGTTTTGTGCGTCTGTGGAAACTCGCCAGCTATTCGCAGGGGGTCCTGTAGTGTGCGGCTTCTCGGTAGCGAGCCGGGTGGCCGGGATGTCCTCGGACCTCGAATGCCGTTGTGGATAGCTTCTAGGGGTTTTTTGGTGCTGATGGAAACTCTTAATTAAGCTATAGAATATACAAGATATGCAAACAAGTATTTTTATGATTTACATTTCAAGAAAAGAACTCCAAACGTAGACAAGATGACATTCTTCAATCGTTTATACGAACAGACAATTAGACGGTTTTCTTTATTATATGTTACTTATTTCAAATAAGCAATTATAATATGTCATACTATGGGTTTAAAACACTGACATTCTGCAGCTTTTTTGTAATATTAGCATAAACTCTACTCCAGCTACAACTTTTATTAATACACTCTCAAAAATTTGCCACTTCACCTTTTTTTGAACGATACTATTTTTAATACTGAATTGTCTTTTTTTCATTATAAGCATATTACCAGCAAACAACATTCTAGAATAATAAAATTGTTTAAAAATACATGACTTCAAGTGATATCTCACTGTGTACTTATAATAGAAATATAATTGGTCTAGATAAATATGTGAATTTTTTGTGTAATATAGTAGTGCATAAGTAAGTCATTTTTCAAACTGCAAAATTAATCATTTAAATAGAGTTTTTGCAAACGCAAACAAAACACGCAAGTCGTCCGCTGACAGAGTATCAAGTAGCTTTGAAGTCCAAGTCGTTAATTAAGTAAAAATTGCGCCAATTAACATATAATCGCGTAATATACATATTAATATTCCTTTTTCATACAATACCCGCTCTGTAGGTGGCGCCGATGGCTGCCGGTGGCGGGCGAGGGCGCTTGGGAGGCCGACGGGCAAAAAGCCCGCAATGCCGGTGCAAGAGATCCTTGCATTAATCAAGAACACCGTGCCCGGGAAACTCCCGCCCACAATGTAAACCTAATTGACGATTGACATCGCCAAACCTAACTAAACTATAAAGCACCGCGGTTGGAATATGACTTGATGGACGCCTTCTCTGTTGCCGGATTAATTTAAATCGAAATCTAATACATAGCGGTGTAAGCAATATGATACATAATTTGCTTTTCATAGCGTTAATATGTAACGAAAATTCGTTAACAATCTAAGTTATTATTTAGTTTTTCTAAAACATTTCAACGTCAAGTAACTTAAATGTTGTGTCGATCAAAAACTAGAGTTATAGTATTTACTTTGTTAAATATAAGATTAAATATTGTGATATTTTAAGAATTTCTATAATTAAAAGATAATTTATTGAGCAGATATTTTCGTTATTATTCACAATGTTATCGCATACGTAAACATATACAAAATACACAACACACAGGGCTGAGGGCTTGCTGAGTAGGATATTACGGTAATTGATAAAATAAACGAGTTCGAATGATATCTCACAATGTGTCACATAATCTACTCACATATTTGAAGGCAGAGCCGACGCTGTAAATATAACTAACAAATATGTATACATTGTACTTGTCACGTGACCTTAATAAAAGTTCTATTACAATATATATTTAACTGGTAAATAATATTTCGGCGGTCACTCTACCTTTCTCTACCTCTTACTCTTCTTAACAACTTTAACATCATAGAAGTTGTAACGCACGGTCCGAGTACAAATGGTAACTTTATATAAAAATATTGCACATAAATGTAAATGCATGTTTCAACTGAATATACTTTATAGAAAATAAATAATAGGGCCTCATACATTTGTTCATTATAATTTTAAACGAACAAGTCCAAAGCAAGTGAAGTATACTGCATTAAATAAATTATTTTATTTACAACTTTCCTAAAATAGTAGATGGCTCTGTTCAATTTACAAATGTATTCGATATGTGGACAAATAATTATATTGGTGTGATCAACTTTTCAAAACTGTAATTTTTTTTCGTCCAACTATAAATAACTGATAAGACCTGCAGTGGTAGCCCAGTGGTAACGCGCTCGCTTGGGAAACCGAGTGAAGCGGGTTCAAATCTCGGGTCTCGCACCTCTGATATTTTCATGTGCGAATCATTTTCTAACATGATTACCACTTGCCTTACGGTGAAGGAAAACATCGTGAGGAAACCTGCATGTCTGAGAGAACCTAGCAAGTTTTCAAAAGACATGTGAAGCCTGCCAACCCGCACTTGGCCAGCGTGGTGGACTATGGCCTGATCCCCCTCGTATGTAAGAGAGACCCGTGCCAAGCAGTGGGACGTTAAAAAAAAAGGGCTGAATACAATACCTGTAAGTCTAAAATTCCGATCTATGTGGTGGTCCCCTCATTCTTTTTACAGACGAAAAATATTTTTTAAACCAAGGACATATTAACGAACACGACCCAGGGGACTGTCAGCAAACTTGGTTTGTCCCGGAAAACGATACGTGCAATGAACTATTTACCTGAATGTCAGGTAATGTGTTCGATAAAGGCCGCCAAACGTAATATGGCATTTTTAACAAGTCTTTTACTTTCGATTGATTCGTTTGTCACAGGAAAAGAGTTGTTGTACTTAAAAGAAAAGAACAATAAAATTTTGTTTTTGATCAAAAATAGCCTGAAAAAAATTGTAGAGACAACCCCCCGTTGTTTGTTAATATATTTTATAGTATAAAATAAATAATCGTCTGGAAAAAGAGCGAGGGGTCCACCACATAGATCTGGATCTCGTACTATGTCAGGTGCACTCAGGAACGCAGAAAAGAAAATAGGTATTCAAAAAAAATCAAAATTCAAAATATTTTATTCAGCATTAAATTACTAGAATTTTTACTGAACGTCATAAGTCTACTACCAGTTCGGAAAGAAGCCTCAGACGGTATTATCTATAATTAAAATGTCTTTATCTTACTTCAATATTTAATTCAATTAATATATTATCACTAAAAAGATAATCTAGGACTTGAAACATTTTAAAACAAAGGTAAAACAAAATCGTAAGTTTTTAAGGATTATTAGAAAGAGAACGTGCCGTTCTAAACGCTAAGCTTGTACCAAACATCACTCTTCTATTATACAGTAGATAGTAATAAATGAAAAGTTTATTTTCTCGTACATTTAAACGCACTAATCTCTCGAATTACCAGTCTCTCTTGTAAATTCTGTCGTGTACTATGGCCTTTTTATTGAGGAAAGCTATTTAACTCCTCGTTACGATACAATATTCATCTCAGAAATCAAACATAAACTACGCGGTCAGAGCCGCGAGCGCACGCTAGTTAATATACTTATAAATTCGAAAGACACCACTTAGTAATTAGACCACCGATATTGATCAGATACTTAAGTTATAAATAACTAGCGGCTCACCCTCGCTTCGCTCGGGTTCACCTCTAGAAAAAGCACAAACAGATCTATCCCACGGGAACCGTTCATTTTTCCGGGATGAAAAGTAACCTGTTGTTCGACTGGCAATTAAGGTATCAGCATGCCAAATTTTACGAAATTAGGTGCGTAAGTTGTTGTGTACTAACTGTATAAGTTACTATAGTTTTTTGGACTATCCCACGGAAACTCTTAAATTTTCCGGGATGAAAAGTAGCTGATTTGTTTTTGTCATGTATGAACTATATTATTGTAAAGTTTCATTAAAATCCAATCGGTAGTTTTTGTGTACTAAGATGTATAAGTTGTTATAGTTTTTTAACTATCCCACGGGAACCCTTTAATTTTCCAGGATGAAAAGTATCTAAGATGTTGCCCGGGGATATAAGGTACCACCATGCAAAATTTCATTTAAATAGGTCTAATAAATCCGGAGATTAGCCCGTACAAAGAGAAAAACAGATAAACAGCTCGCTCGGGTTCGTCCATACCTACGAATATGTTGTATTATCTCTTTAACCATTTGTCCAAATTATATGCAGTAAAAGGGAAAAGTCTTTTGTTTTAAACATTTTAGACGATAAATTTACTTATTTTGATAAGAATTCATAATTGTTGATAATATGACCAATAAACATGACCTACCGATTTAAATTATTTTTTTAATATAAAAAACTACTTTTTGTGACTTAAATATAAAAGTTAAACATATGCTGTCGCTGACTTTTTTGAGGCATTATTAAGCTCTACAACTTTTTTCTAGAACGTTATCATATATCTCTCATCGTTAAGGCAGCGTTCGTAAGAAACGTTTTCGTTCGACCGTTTTTTCTCCGACTTACTTTGCAAATCCGACTACCATGAAAAAGCCTTGTCATTCTTCGGGTTATTATATAGCCTATGACACTCAGAAAGAACGTGGCTTTCTATTGGTAAAAGAATTTTTTAAATCGGTTCAGTAGATCCAGAGATTACCCCCTACAACGTCACAAACTCACAAACTCACAAACCCACAAACTCACAAACTCACAAGATCACAAACTTTACCTCTTTATAATATTAGTATAGATAATCAAACAATACTATTAACAAATGAAAAAACTTAAATCATACATGAAGAAGCTCTTCCGGGCTCGTCGTCAGTATACCAACATACGCGGTATAGAGTACTTGATATCCCCTTCATTACACAGTTGTTAAAATATTCCTTAAGTTTTGAGACGTCAAATAATTTGAACGCTGCAACAAAAACTGGTTTGTTTGGAGGACAACGCGCTGCGAGACGCCGAGTGCTCGTCAACTTTTGAATGACTCCATTCATTATTTCATTCATTCGGAGCACTTTGACACTTTCGACAAATGTATCTTTTTATGATATAGACTACAGAGCTTGATACTAGAAATTATTTAATTCATTAGGTGCTGCTTAAATTTGAGCGTAGTCTGATCGTGTAAATACAAAAATAGAACCTAAATATTTTTAAACTTAGTCCTCTTGTAAGTATGAAAAACGCCAATAAATCTAATCCGTATACATAATATGTTACATAAAGTAAAACACATTTTAGTATACTATCTAAAAGTATTTTTATAAATGAGTTAATAAAACGTACATCCCTATTCAAATGTGCAACAATAATATCGTGAGCAGAAGGCGGCATAAGAATTATTGGTCGAGTGGAGGTTTATTAGCATGCCTCGGCCTGCAATTACGGCGCTGTCAGCAACATGGCTTGTGTTTTAAATAAAATTAACTAATTTGGTCCTAATTTCCTGTCTCATTAATGTTTCTCGCTGCGTTCATTGTGTCACAATGGCTTGTTACACACTCTTCATGTATTTTCAAAACGTATAAACAATACAAAGCAACAAAATATCAACTTATAAGCCCTCAATCTTTTTCCACGTACACGAAATATGATAATCTATATATGAAAAATAATTATTAAGATACATACCTACATCTTAAACTGCTCCTCATCAAATATAGTGAAATATAAACATGTGCTGTCTCACTCAGGAGCTTGCTATTTTTCAACTAAATCAGTAGTTATATTCAGCCCTTTTTAATGTACCACTGCTGGGCACGGACTTCCCTCCCATATATATATATTACAATAATTTCTAACACGATTACCACTTGCCTTACGGTGAAGAAAAAAAATTGTGAGGAAACCTGCATGTCTGAGAGAACGTAACAAGTTTTATAAAGACATGTGAAATCGGCCAACCCGCAATTGTCCAGTGTGGTGAACTATAGCTTGATCCCCCTCGTATTGAAGGGAAATCAGTGGTTGCGATTTTGATTTCAGTTTCCAAATACTGATTCAAAACTCCTCCTCCTTTAATTTAATGTCAAACAAATGTTCATAATGTTACTCATTCAACAGTACTGACCAGCAGTCAACGTGCACTACACAATCAATTAAATAGTTAAGCAAACTTCCCTCTGTCATTTAACAGAATTAATAGAATTAACTAAATGAGCCGACGTCCACATCAGGTATTAATCAAGCCCCCGCGGGCGGCGGCGGGCCCGCGTTTGTATCAATTGATAATAATCAATTACCGATCAGCGATAACGTCGGGGGCGACAGATGCGCTACATCTGATAACAGTTCAAAAACTTACAATGTTGTTTATTTACTTTTTACAGAAACAAGCTTTTTTGACATCTTATACCTATAGGTATGCTGCTAAAAAGAACTCTTTATGGTTTGCGGACTTAAACAAGATATCATTCTAAATTAGTTGGAGAATTGAACCAAAAATAAAATTATGGCTATGACGTGCTATGATTATATGACATATCCATTTTTTAATAGTCAAAATTTATGAGGGAACAAATACAAGTTATATTAATGTAGGTGTAACTTTATTGAAATGATATATTATTATATGAATATATTATTATCAATAGTGTATTAGGTATACTTACCGATAGTGTAAGTAAATGATACAAAGGCGTAGCCGGGGTTGGGATTTATTAAGTTTAGAAAATACCATTTGCCATAAGCATCAGCATAAAAATAAAGTACCGTAGGCAAGTGATAATATTTTACACACATTGTAAAAACGATTTGAATGTTTATTAAACGTGGTCTCAGTAGGTACCTAGCTGTGGATAATTGCTCCATTCAGCAGTAAAATGGTTTGATGAATAGTAATGATTGCAAATCTAGGAGATAGCTTGCGTTGAACAGACGACGCATTTGCATTGAATGCCGGCACGCGGCGAGGCTGCGCGCGCGCAGCCCGGCGGCCCGGGCCGGCCAATACCGTGCTAGCCCGCCGGCTAGAAAGTAGACGCGACTAATAGCGAGAGAGCGACACGTGCGGCGCCACGCCCCCGGCCCGCCTCGCCTCTGTCTATGTTGGCGTCTATGACAAGAACATAATGGGCAGCAGTCGTACGAGTCGAGCAACTAGTTTTAATCGACAAATCTCGAGATATAAGCATAATAAGCTGTCTTTCCCATACGGTGTAAGTTCTGTCGGAAACCGCAGGCGCCGCTGCCTTATGCGGCGGCGATAGCGCGCAGCTTCAATATCATCTATAACTCCAAGTTTCATATTCATTTGCCATATTTCTTGTATAAGATAGTTCCGTTGCGTATCTTATTGCAGGATACCGTTCTAGGCAAACAAAATATATTATGTTACCAAAACAAATTAGGTAGGTAGGTATTATTTGGACTTTAAAAGCTTACTAAGTACAACAATGTATTAATGTGTATCTATGATGCGTCGGTACATGTACGGTATAATATGTATAGTATGTACCCATCCTAATCTTTTGAAATATCCAATAATATAAACAACTCATGACGACAAGACGCTTGGAAAGTATGTAGGTCCTTACACTAGGAAAACTAAATCAATTTCATTGATTAGATAGCAATTAAGAAATACTTAGTAACATTACAATATCTGTGAAAAAAACAAAGTACAAAAACTCTAAGGTACAAATAAACAGCGAATTTAAGTCATTTTACCTTTCATTAAATGAATTTGAAAACAAAAAGTCGGCAATCAGTCACGTAAATTAAATCGATCTGATACACGACGGAAGGTGACCAGGTGGAGCTTGATAGCTTTCAATTAGTATTTTATGTTCCTCGCGCTTTAACATTTACATGTAAATGATACGAGATCCAAAGTAAGATAACACGCCGAACGATTTCACGGCGATTTAAGCCGCCGCGGCGTGAAGCAACCCTCGCGCCCCATTCTCGTCGCCATTAGTATAAAAAATTAAAAGGGGTCGTTGTTGTACCTGTCATCGAAGTGGACTTAATTTGTTGTGAAATTACTGTATCAATTATCATCTTTAAACGCACCCACAGTTTTATTAAATAATGATAATACCCATCAAATAATTGATTAAAAGATATAATTCGATCTGCAAAAAGCTTTAAAACATAGAATGGTTTTTTTATGAATATAAGATGTTAAGGCAGTGGTAGCCCAGTGGTAACGCGCTCGCTTGGGAAATCGAGTGAAGCGGGTTCAAATCTCGGGTCTCGCACCTCTGATATTTTCATATGCGAATCATTACTAACATGATTAACACTTACCTTGCGGTGAAGGAAAACATCGTGAGGAAACCTGCATGTCTGAGAGAACATTGCAAGTTTTCGAAAGACATGTGTAGTCCGCCAACCCGTATTTGGCCAGTGTGGTAGACTATGGCCTGATCCCCCTCGTATTGAAGGGAGGCCCGTGCCCAGCAGTGGGACGTTAAAAAAGGGCTGAATACAATAAGATGTTACTAGAGCTGTAATCGATGTTATCGAAGCCCAAGCTGAATATTTAAACTTTAACTTTAAATTTTATTTCGCATGGGCTCTTTGTAAATGTCCAATTGCCGTTTTATTGCGTAAATTACAACGATTGCAATGTTTTTCATTTAAGTAAATGTTTATATAATTTAAAAAGTATGTGGGCTTAATGTAAGCAAAGCCTTCAGATAATTAAACTTAATAAGTAAATAAATAGTTCCATGGTAAGTTACGACGGCTTGTGTTATGGATTCCAGATAGGTGATACACTACACTAGACACATACATTACTTTAAATACGTATGTATATGTTAATATGTATATATTAAAAATATAAAGACTCATGACTGAGTACAAACGTTCGTGCTCATCAAACAAATGGATGGCCCCAGCGGAACTCGAACCCGCGACCGCTGGCACAGCAAGTAGGGTCACTACAAACTGAGCCAAACGTCTCTTCATATAAATAAAAAGTATTGTCACGTGGATAACGTGACAATGCTACATAGTCAATTAATATTAAAATTTAAAAAACATTTTTAAAAATAAGTTTTAACAGCATATAAATTGTGGAATGTAATAAATGGGTTTGTTTTTAAATTTTATTTTTTAATTTTAGGTTTATTTTTTATTTATTCGTATTCTTCTCAGCAAACCCTTCATTTGATATCCAATATCATGCATAAAAAAACTATAATCACCCATCGTTGGGAGTCCGCCATGTTAGATTTAGAATGACGTCAATTATCTAACCATGCATTATCATCTAAACTAAACGTGTATGAAAAATTTCAGCTCAATCGGTTGAGGATAACTGCTTTAAAATCCAGTTGCAAGATTTGACCCGAACAAACATACATACAAACATTACAATTTAAATAAACACTTGTAAGAACGTATCAATTGTTTTATAAAAAATGACACTAATATTATAAAAGTAAAACTTCGTGAGAGTTATGAAATGTAGGCTAGGAGATAGGATCCTACAGGCTAGTTTTTATCAAGAGGCCGAACCAAAAAATATATTATAAAAATAAAAAACCCGACTCCATAAAAGCAAAATAAAAATATGAGAATAAGTTGACAAAGGAATATAGTATTATGCAGTCGGACACATACTCGTATGTACACGTTTCATCCTTGTCGCGAGATGTAGGTAGATCTTACTAATATTATAAACTACTAGGAAAACAAAAACAAATCTATCCCACGGGAACCGTACATTTTACCGGGATAAAAAGTAGCCTATGTTCTATTCCAGACTGTATTCTATCTCTGTGCCAAACTTCATCCAGATCCGTTCAGCCATTCTGGCGTGATTGAGTAACAAACATCCATCCAAACATCCATTTATCTATATTTTTTATCCAATTTTTTTAAAGACAAACATTAGTGCCTGAAATCCGCAGTTTTTATTTTAACTATTTTATACAGCCTATGACACTTGAAACCCCAAATATTTTTATAATAAACTGCTTGACATACATACATAATATACATATGTATATATAAGAATACATTGTAAAGTTTATCTTAATACTAATTTTATGTGGCTGTGCGCTGCGTTTTTTCTTAGTATTGATATGGCTTTAGGATTTTTTGGACCTCCATTTAAATAATTAAACAACAAGGTATGCCTACCTTTAAAAATATATGTTGTAAAAAAACGAAAATTAGAATAAGTATAATTCAACATAATATCAGGAGGTCAAAGACGATTCACGGAACAATCACGACGTCTGCGTCTCCAGCGAACGGGAATTTTGCACTTCCTCGATATCGCCCAGCTCTTGCATGCGGAGAAAGTTATTTAGTTATATCCGATCACATTATGTGACCAGAATACACCCCTTCAATTTCCACTCTGGCCATTCTTGAACTGTGTTTTAAGCAGTTTTTCGGACATCTGAATAGCGATGTTTCATGCAGATAATTTTCCGTAGAGAAGGACGCACTGAGTCACGAAAGCAAAAAGTCGTTCTTCTCCTTTTAAATCTTTAGTCGCCCATTGAGATATGCCTTCTACTTTTTGATTACTTAAATTGATAATATCACTAAATTTCTGTATAAAAAATGAAGACATACCTAATCACTAAATTATGTGTTCATTTCGATAAATAAAATGGTATTTGCATGTTATACTTAAAAAAAAACCATAAGAAGTTGTGTTGTTAATTAAAAATTGAAAACAGAGCCGTAATATAACATTTGATATCAATCAAATGCAAGCCTTGACATGTAGACTAAGGTTAATTAGCGCATGTTTTAGTCAAGATCGGTTTTTATAACATAATAAACTATAAATGGCATACACGGGTATGTACAATGTACGTGTCTGGCGAGATTCTAACATCAAATCCTTTTTATTGCATACCTATATTGGTTTACTCCTTCAATTCATTTTAATAAAGATAACCATAACTGTATTATATTAATCTGATAAAGATAAAATCTAGGCAAAAGCTGACTTAAACAGCAAGTATAGTTGTTTACTTAAAATACTTAAGTCTATTATAAGTATATAATAACTTTTAAGATGTTTACAACCTTAGTCTCTCCCGTGACTGTGATTGTTGTAAAGCATTCGAAACGGTTCTCGAACCACAAATCCAAATAAAACCTTAAAAAACCCGAAAAGGTAGTTTTATTTTAAAATAGCCTAAAATAGTATAAGTTTGTCAATACTACGTTTTAACAAGTCAGAATCCGAAACAAACTAAAAGGATAGGATGGAGTACCTATTAAATAAATAAAGTAACAACAAATATAATCAGTGGGTGCGTATTTCTTGAGCCTGTACCATTATAATCAACGGTGTATATGTACTCGTATATACAGTTTTTTTTGGGTTAGAACAGTCACCATAAATTACTAGAACTTTTAGAAAAAGTTCTATATCATATGGTCATTGTTCTAACCTAACCTAGGAAGAAAAAAAGGGTTTATTCGAGTACGTAGCTCCCGCCTTAACCTTCTCGACCTACGCTATCCAAGTTGGACCTGTCACGTAACCAAAAAATAAAACTCTAGTCAAAACTACTTTTGACCAACCTCTTTAGTCAAAAGTAATTTTGATTAAAAATAAGTTTGACTGTAACATATAATATAGTTTATGAGAAGAGGATAACTAATACCTAACATGTTATAATACCACAGATTTTAAATATATGTTATCAGTGATTATGCGTCGCTATCGTGTTTAGATGGCGCCCGACACTAGGCTAAATCCGCGACTCTCCACAAACACTCGACTGACCCATATCGGCGGTCGTCTTCGTCACGGGTTCCCTTATCATAAACAAATAACTTTCGCATATCGCAAAAAATTCTATGGAAATTGTGATTCCACGTTTATATTTTATTATCAGTTGAGTAAACATGTCGATAAAGTCAGGTGTCGCAATGTGGGTCAGAGGCGCACCTGTCCGTCTTCGCGCCGCGGCCCGCGGACTGGCGACGAGACGGTCGCCACACAATTGTTGTACATTATTAACAATTGTTTACTGTTCAGTGTTCAGTATTATTCAATTCTTTTTAGTACGAGTGTCGTATATAAAACATTAATATAATTTAACTTCATATATTTATATATTGACATGAAATTTCGTTGTAATACTAATTGGATCATAATATATCTATTAGGATTTAGATACCACTGTGCTGTCTGCGCTGTGACAACACTTCATTTTAACATTCTCATTTCCTTCGTATCTTCTCTATTCTACACGACATTGACAAAGTAATCTGTACTGAACTGGCACGCGTCGAAGCCGTTAACAAGAAAATTGAAATTTTATTACTTAACAAGATCATCTTATCGTTACTCATATGATTAAAGTATAATATCTGTACTTAAAACAGTCTCCAGAAAATAGTATCAATTTTTTAATTGTTCAGATAAAATTCTGGTATATATACATATATTTAAGTTATAAATTTGTTATAAATTAAAGTATTATGTCTGCGCCGCCCGCGCGGACTGCGGCTGTCGGCTCACCTAATAACATTATTATTGATGGGTGCTTCTTATTGACACCGCCTGTGTCTTAGACGACGCCTCACCCTGCAAGGTGCACGTCAGCTAGACAATATTTTCATCCCCTATTCTAAGTTACAAATTGCTCTATTAGCAAAACATATTATACTACTATGTATGTATGTAGGTATGTATTTTGTCCAATTATAAGATGGCGTAAAGTTTATGCCTAAATCCATATTTTTTATCCTTCATCATCCTGTGTAAACAACTCAAATTACAAATGCTTAATTTGTTTATGTAATTGCGCACATGTTCTCCGCTCAAAATTACTTCTTAATTTTAATGTTTTTTTAGCTCAAACATTATGATTTTCAACATAATTTTTGATAGATACTTATAATATCTGATGACACCCTCCCAAGGTGTATAAGATATGAGGCATGGTGTCACAAGTGATTCTACCAGGCAGCAGGCACGCATCGTCCACTATCGGCGTTACATTTACTGGTGTCCATTCAACACGCATTTTTCTCCTATCATTTATACATTAATCATCAAATATTTAAATTCAATCAATCAATAAAACAGGTAGATTAACACAAGCAGATTAATATTCTGAATTATCACAAAGAAAATGTTGCTGAATTTAAGGTTTATTTATTCAATTATCAGTTTAAGTAATAATTCGAACATTATCAACAATAAATATAAAATAAAATATGACTTACAAAACAATATATTTAAAAAGTTTATTCGTACTCGTATAATATATACCTACATATTTCAAGCGGCAATGGGGAATTAGACCGATGTGATTTTTTTCTAAAGTAATATTTTATAGACCGTAACATAATCTACATTTTATCCGAGTATCTGCGGAAGACGATTCCCTCATCATGCTAATGTCAAAAATTACTCTGGGACACGAACCGCTCTTTTACACTTTGTTCTCTGCACGCCGCCCTCAAGGGACTCTGCACGACGCACCAATATTTTTAATATACTTGTAAGTCGACTAAACCCACAGTCTCCGACATAACAAACATTGCCAGTCTGAAGTAAATGTAATGTGTAAATAAAAATAACGCAGCCTTGACGACTTTTAGTATAAATAAATATTCAACAAATAAGTATACTATAGCATACATAGGTACATATCTTATCTATATTGTAAAATGAAAATATCGAGTACATTTCTGAATCAATTTTAAGAATAAGAACGGTTCTCATATTATACACACATAGGGTCCTGAGTCTTTTAATATTTTATTTATTTATTTTGGAAACGGGATTACCAAAAAATATAGAATAGAAAATCATTAATAAAACTTAACCAATAACAGTTTCCAATGTTACAGAAATATATACATCTTGACAAACATTTTTTTTGTCTGAATAATCACAAATTTCCCGCCTGGGTACCTACCTCGCGTGAATGTATTTTGAAATGTTACAACCAAGTGAGTTCTCACATGCCCTAAATATTCTTTATTTAGGTATTTAATCAATTACCGCGGATTTGAATAGTGATGCAATACGTTTGTTTCTACGAATGTGTTGATATATCAATGGCCGGTATCGCTTGTTATCATACGAAACATTTTAATAAATGAATATTCATAACTTTCCAACAACATGTGATTCAGCACTCGACTTCGCGGCGATCGTCGACGTCGCAGTGTAGGAGTGTTACTGACGGACATCGCTAATCATCCCTAATCTATACATGTATAATACATAATAACTACACCGAATCTGTACACTAAATATATTTTTGAAAATCTTATTAAAATAGAAATTATTATCGATACAGAGGCCAAATCTATAGTTTTTAGAATTTTTGTCTGTCTGTCTGTCTGAGACCACATGACGGAAAACCCACCGGAGGGATTTTGATGAAATTTGGTATGATAATAGCTGGTTAACCGGGTCAACATAGGGTACTTTTTACTACGGAAAAATATCTCATCTCTGAGAAATCTATACTAAACGTTGAAACGTACGAAGGGACGAACCCAAGCGAAGCGATGGTAGGTCGCTAGTGATTATGAAATATGTAGGTACATTACGAATGCCGGTTTCGATGGTAATGCAGAATTTGACAGTTTATAGGGTATAATTTTATGTAATATTTATTAATATTTTATCAGCTATCACTGAATCTGAGTTTAAGTAAGATTTAAAAAATCAATAATTGATTGATATACGAGTGTAACAGAAATAAATTATCTATAAGAAAACAAGTAGAAAACAGCAAAACGCACATGTTCGCAAACTACTGAGCATCTCCTCACCGTAACCGCAACCGCAACCAACCACAACTCAACAAAAAATATATAAGTAAAGTAAGTAACTTCAATTAGGGTAACACGAGTAAACCATGTTTACTGTTTTACTCGTATTTATAAAACTAAATAGATGCGTCACCTAAATAGTTGTTATCTCAACTTGCGAGCAACGTAGTTAAATGTGCGTGTTAACTATACAATATTTTAGTTTAACATGTTTAAAATGTAACTATATTCAATAAGAATAAAACATATTTTTTTTTGTTGAAAATACCTTAAAAATGGAACGAACATAAGTAAGAATTAGAAACAATTCTTAAAAACAAAGTATAATTTCACTGACCTGGCTGAGATCCATCCTCTACTCAGTCGATCACCGATCACAACACTAAAGTCAAAAAAATCGTAAGAAAGAAATAAAAAGTTCAAAATTCCTTACAAGTGAGGAAAACTCGCATTTCCTGGCATATTTAGCAAATCGCGGCACTACATTGATGAAGGTGAGTGAGTGCGCGGGCGCAGCTCGCATCCCGCCCACTTGCCTTTAAACGTATACTCGATACGTTACTGATAATATAACTTATTTTAATCATTACTAACTCGTGCATGCGAATTTACGCGTGGATTTCCCCTCAAGTGTGCATCGGCTCGAGAACATTTATTTAGTAATGTTGAACATATGTCATACTACAAAAAAATTGTGAGTCGGCCTACATTTAATGCTCTTTACCTATTTCCGCATCATACTATAAAATGATAATATCTGCTCTTTTCTTTTCAATCACTTTTTTTAAGAAAAATCTTATATCTATTTAAAATATATTTATTTTGAATTATTTATTGCAAGTAGCAATAGTCCAATTATACGTTGTATTTCTTTGTCTTTCGAAATAATTAAGTTTAAAGTTCAAATTAAACGTGGAAAAACAACTAGTGGTGAATTTATTCAAAATATAAATGATAGGGCTCTCCGGCAATCCTCAGAACAATGGTCAAAAAAGCTGCACGCAAGCTTTCCTCGCCAGCGTCGGCCGCGCGCCGCTCACATAAATACTTCTTACATTAACATATTAAAACAATAAATACTAATGACATTTAAGACATTTAATTGTTAAATACTAAGAAGTTTTATTTGTATTAACAGATGTTTCTCTTTTAATTGTTTGATTTAAATCGTACGTCTTCGTGCATGTACACGTTTTGAGATTTGAATCCATCACCTTTGACGTCAAGGCGAGTGCAATCAGACACAACACTGCGCCGAATCCAAATCAAAATTAAATAATAATCAATTTTTGTATTTGCTCTTCAGTACCTACCTACCTATGCCTGTGTAGCCCTAAAAGTTAAAAAAAAACCTACTTAAAAGGTAAAGCTCACATATTTAAATAAAGCATATTTAAGGGAGTTCCAGTAATAAGTATAATTATTCTTATTCAAAAATATGATCGACACTTATCTTTTAATAAAATCGGTTAAACTGATCGGGTTTACCGCTCGCATGCGATAGCCAATGTTTGCTCTGAGATAGCGATACGTGAAAGTTATCGTAATCAAATACGAAGGAAAGCGTGTACTATTTGTATATTTTATACTATCAACTATCGAATCATTTTCATAAGAGCGTTTATCCGTTCTGCTAAATACTGAACATTATTGCTGGCGTGCAAATGTAGTTGCGTTTGTTCGTGGCAAAGAGTAAATTTAAAGTTTTTTTCTTAGACTGTTTCTATATAATAACATAAACTGATCATGTAATTTTTATGTTTTATGGCAGCAAAAATACGACTTGCTACATAATTACATATGTATGTATTATATGGTTATCTAGACGTTGACCACACTTGCCACCTGAGTTCGTCCGCTTTTCTTTATTATATCATATCCCATTCCATATCATATTATAATAATAAAATTAATACTGAAAATAACATCCCAATAATACGATTCTAGGTACCCACAGTATATATGTCACAGAGAAGGCGTGTCTGTTTTATAATACCATGACACTATGTCTCGGTTAGGAAGTGAAATTTTTATTATTATAATTAATTTTAATAATATATGAAAGTAAATAAATTGAGTTTAACCTTCTTTTTGAGGTTAATTTAAGTAAGCCCTCGTTTATTTGTGTAATTTTGCCTGAAGTATGCCGATGAGTAGGTGAGTGGAGGTATTGTCCTCGCGGCCGACAGCTCGCACTCGCTCATGTTTGTTTTA